AGGAAGGAAGGAAGGAAGGAAGGAAGGAAGGAAGGAAGGAAGGAAGGAAGGAAGGAAGGAAGGAATTAAACTAATGGCCTTTAACCTGCAGGCTGAAGGAAGTAAATGAGCAGTGCATATGGGCAGTCTCAAGAAAGTGGCCTGTGAATTTAATATTTATTAATTAATACTGTTATTAATTCTTTGTATAATTATTCACAATAAGCTTGAGAATGCTGGAGTCACAGAAGTCTTAAAATGGAAAATATTACTATGTGTAAACAATCAGCTACTACTCTTGGTAGTCATTTACCCCAAACTTGATAGAAAGCAGACAAGATCTTCAGTGTAACCACAGTATTACCCTTCCTCACAATCTGAACAGTCATTTATATATGAAAACACATTCAGTGGTCTAACCTAGCATCATTTCCCTTACCAGGCTGAAAAAATCCTTCACTTGAATGTGGCACAGTTCTGCAGAAAATGTACATTTTTATGTACATGCTTTATGTATTAAAGCCATCTGAAAATGCATCTTACCACTGCAGCTGGAACTTGAGGCATTTTTGCAGCTGGGGTTCCTGGACGTGGGTAGAATTGATTAATAAACAAGCTTGGAAACCTGTACAGTTCTACAAGTTTCATAGTTTCTTGAAAATCTTCATCGGTCTCTCCTGGAAATCCACAGATGATGTCTGTAGCAATTGTTATTCCAGGCACTCTGTAAAGGAAGTAGAAAGAAACACTTAACTGAGGACTGGGTTAACTGAGCAAGTAGAAGTCTTGCTCCTTAAAAGCTAGTGTACATAGACATATAACCCTCAACTTTATCTACAGAAATTGAGACCTACAAGGATCTTGGCGGAAAAAAAGATATTAACCCCATTGTTTGGTAATGAGAAATGCATCTGGTGCTCAGCTGAGAGCACAGTAATAGAAGATACTGCAGCAAATACTGGATTAGGATTGTGACAGATGAGTGAAAACATCTGGATCAACTCTTCCTTCAATCAAATTTAGAGGTAATCAGCACACCTTGTTACTTCTTCAATTCTGATTGCTTAATCCATAAAATGCAAACCTTTTGAGACTCAGTCACTAGAAAATGTCAACTATTTAATGTTTTATAAGGCTGCTATCAAAGTAGAATAGGGTATCTGAAAGAGGGGCTGGTATGCCATATCACCTAGCAAATTTAACAAAATTGGCTCAGGAGCCAAAAATACATCTTTAGTCACAACTTAAAAATTAACTCAGTATTCTAAAACATCAGCCTATGCCTTGCTTTAAAAGGAAAACAAAATACTTAAGTTCACATGCGCAGGCAGTGAGTTCTCTTGTTGTTTAAGCAATGCCAACATTTCCTAACCGTTCCCCTTGGACTGAATATGCAGATCCCTCACGCACACCAGGTTAAGGCAGCACAGCTGACAGAGACAGCCCACAGGCACAGAAGGACGCACAGGAGAGGGTGAAGTTAGGGAGCTCCAGTTGAAATTGTACCACTACCGCCATCCTGGACATGGTGGGAACATGCCATGAACACTTTCCCCAGTAGACACTGGAGCAGCCATCAAGGCCTGCACCCAGACTGAGCTTTGTGTACAGTGGGAATAATGATAAGCATCTTCTGGAGAGAGGCAGAAACGCATAGTGCTCAGCGCTCCCTCTTGACACAGATGAGACTGCTTCCACAATGCAGAGTTCACCCCACACTGCAAGTAACAATGATAAACTGCAGAAAATATTGGAGAAAATTAAGAATTCCATATAAATATTGGTGGTATCTAACTTGGAACTGGCCCTGTTTCAAGGAGGGGGAGTAGATGAGATGTCTTCCAGAGGTCCCTTCCAATCTAAATAATACTGCAGCTCTTATATAGGCCACAGGCAAGGGAACAGAACAGTTGAAAGAGATTGTTTTAGGGGTGAATGGCATAAAGACAACTGTCACAAGCAAAGTTCACACTCGAGGTTAAGAAGGGGTCTCCAAGACTGTCTCTAACCTAAAGAAATGGATGGAAGGTTTCCCTTCCCCTCATCCGGTTAAGACAATGTAGAACTGTGAATGTCAGTGCATGTAATCCAAATTACGTTTTTAAAGTATTCAAATAGCCAAAGAAAACTATAATTTCTTATTAAACACTACAACACCACAGAAAAAAAATAATGCTGTTATTATAGTGAGTGAAGAAATTTGATTTTGGATAACTGAAAGAAAAAAATTCTGAAAGAAAAACTTCCTGAAACAATGAGTTGTACTGAAAAAGGAAAACCTGTTGGCAAAAGACCCCCAAAAAAGGAAAGCAGAGAATACTGTTCTTATTAATTTTATTAGGTGCAACATTAGACCATAGCTTATACCTACCAGACCAGCCTTCAGACAAATTTTACATGGTAGTAAATATATTTTGTGATTTTTTTTTTTCCCCCAAACTTAAGGTTTTTTTCTGCAAGTATTGGCAATGAGCTTATATTAATGCCTTGCCCTCCTTTTAGCATGTGTCTGGACATATAGGTAGTAGCACAGGAATTTATCATCTATTATTAGAATCTTCTCTCACCTTTTCCTTATGAAAAATCCCCAGCAAAGAAACCAAATTCTATCAATTCCTTTTTGAATTCACAAATTCAGACTCCATCATCGGAGCTGAGTTAAAAGATGGCATTTGAACAACAAATTAAAACCACTATAAAATTGAACATTTTCAAGCACCTGATCCAACAACCCTAAGTGGGACGCACAGTCTGGATGTTGCGCAGAAGAGCAGAAATCCCCAGAGCTGATGGCTCAGCACCCTCAGTCACTGCTGCTTTCCCAAGACTGACAAAGATCAAGACATGAACTTCTGCTTGATATCAAGTAACAACGAAATTCCTTATCTTTAAGGACTGAGTGAAGAGAGCAGCACCACACCCTGCAACATGATTTTGTTCATACCACAAATATCTTGTGTAGCAGTAGTAAGCTCATGGAAGAAAGTGCTTTCTTTTTATACATTACTTAATAAACCAATGCCACCTAACATCAGCTGCCATTTCTCAGAACATGAACAGAACATTCACTACATTTGAAAAAAACATCATAATGAAGTTATTTTATCCATTTTAATGACACTATTGGCAGCAGTCAAAGCATTTATTACCAATGGTAGTAGTAATACCACCCTTTATAAAGGCCTGGTTGTTTCTATAGCAACATGAATTATAAGGTCCAATCAAGATAGATACAATAAAATATGCTCTTTTTCTCCATAACACCAGTTGTCATTCAGTTAAAAGGAAATTACATATTTTAAAAATTCATAAACTCTACAAATGTCTGAACTCCATTTGCTGATAAGGTGTTAATTATCTTAGTAATTAGATTTCTTCCTGGATGGAATTATTACACACAAAGAAAAGCCTGGATACAAAAAGAGAATAAGGACCATGGTGTATTCAGCAACAGCAATTAATTACAATTCAATCCAGTGTAACTGCCTAAAATATGACATTGCATAGTGCATTTTTATATCACTGCTGATTATATTGTTTAACAAGCAGTTTAAAAAGGGGAGAAAAGCATGAGATTTCACTCAAAGTCCAAAATGACAAAAATCAAGCTCTTAAAGACTTCTCAAAGCAGTGACAAACAAAAATATGTACAATTAGTTCCACACGTGAAACATAATTTCTTAATGAAAAAAGAGGGGAAAAAGATATCATTATGGAAGAATATAAAACACATACACACTTGAAAATTAAAGTGACCTTTTCTCTGACAGCCTGAAAGAAAGCAGCACAAAACTCTTTATTACTTTGATTCAGATGATGCTTAAAAATTGCTCCATCTATGAAATATGATCCAAAATCACATAAAAACAAGTTCTTGTGCATCAGCCAATACTCTTATTGTTTTACATCAAATGCTGCTTATCTATTCTGAAGCAAACAAAGAAAACACTGCTGAACATCCCCTATAACATTTATTACATGAACTCATTTACAGTTAGCCTAACTATTCAGTTTCCACAAATGGATTTTAGGGTGTAGGATAGAAGCTCTGCAATATGTTGACTCTCAATTGATATGCTTTACAATAAAACTGTGGAATTTCAGAACAAGATGAATTAGAGGAATTATTAAAGCCATGTATAAGATAAAACAGCCCTAATACTTATTTTCTTCCCTATGTCCCTCTATATATATAAATCTCTTCCCTCTACTCAAGCAGACTGATGTTTTGCCATTCTGAAGTAGACCAGCAAATGCAAACCCCATCACCCTGGGAAATTCTGAATACCCAAAAAAGAAGGAAATACTTCACCTTACAGGGAAGACACATCTGTTTTAGTATGATGCTGTAAGGGCCAACACACCCATGAGCAAGTGCTGACAGCACAGGTATCCAAACCTCACAGAAAGGAAGAACAAGATGTGTTTGAAAGAATACCGAAGAAAAGCAACATCTTGCCCTCTACCTGAAGAGGAACCAAATCAGTCTCTGGGGTTAGAGAAAAAAATCAGACCTGAGGAACTGACTGATGCCTAGAAGTCAAGTCATGGACAAGCGACTTAGAAAGAAGATAAAAGGGATAAAAGCTGACAAAAATAAAACAGTAAGACCACTCCCCCCCCCATCACCACCCCCACAGAGCAATGCTTCTCAGAAAAGCAGCAGCAAAATTGTAAAAATGTTTAGGATTCACTTGTTACATGGACCATTTCATGTGTTTTAGCTACATAAAACATTCCCTTTAGCAATAACCATTACAAACCAAATCCACATTCCGGGAAGAAATTATGTAAATCAGCTAAAATTGTCACCTTTAGCTACTCACATGACCACTTGAAATTCTTTTGCATGATCACATATTCTTCCCACTTCCATTTCAGCAATTAACACTTAAATCCAGAAATTACTTAAAGCCACCAACTTGCTCTTAAGCAAGACCAGCTATCTCTACCCCTTACAGTTTAACAAAATACTGAATTTTAGATTAAAAAATAATGGATTAGAATAAATAGCAATATGAATGAAAAGAAAACACTGTAGTCTTACAGAAGGGTATGAGAACACCCTGTGTAATCTATAGTAATTAAAGTAAAAACAAAAAGTGTGATGACCTAGCAACTTCTTGATTCATCAATTAGAAATTTGCACTTAAAAAATGTTAGGAAAAAACCAGAATTTTTATGAAAATAAAACTAGTCTACCCTGAAATGTTATTTCAGCATCATACATTATTTTATATTTTAGAGTGCTTCTGCAGTACAAGCCTATTCAGAGAACATGAAATGGGGTTAATGGATGAAATAATTTGAAGGTATCTGAGTTGGCATTTCAAGTGTATTTACAGAGCCTAACAGGCATCTCAATGTGCCATTTTATGTTGGAGCTGAAGGATGTGTTTGCATCTTTCCAGTGACCACACACAGTCTTCCAGAAGCCCTTTTCACCCCCTCTTTCTCTTTTCTCCATCAGGCCTAGTCTTGTGGGATTTCTGACTTCAACTTTAATGGCACACTGAGGAGTCACACCAACTGGAGCTAGCACAAGAGAAACAGACTGCTCAGCTGGAAGCACCGTCTAGGAACAACAGGAAACTTCATCCTGCTTCTCTCTTGGCTAGATGGAGATTAACCTGAGGATTAAGCCATGGAAAAATCCCCACACTTTGAGAAAGGAATTCAGCCTGTTTCTGTTCTGAAATCCCCCAGTGCCCCCCCCCCCCCTCT